GAGTCCTCAAGAACACGCAGAAGTCTAACAACAAGTTAAAAAGTTGTTGAAGAAAGGGTTGGTTTGAGAAAGTATTAGCCCTTGTGCTGTACCTATCCTTCTAGTACCTAAGAAGGATGGAAGTTGGAGAATGTGCATTGATTACCGAGCTGTAAACAAGATTACTATCAAGTATCAATTTTTGATACCTCAACTCGATGATATGTTAGACTAATTGCATGGCGCCACTACCTTTTTCAAAATTGACCTTCATAGTGGATACCACCAAATCAAAATTCGGCCAAAAGATGAGTGAAAGACTACTTTCAAGACTAGAGATGGCTTGTATGAGTGGACTGTGATGCCTTTTGGGTTGACAAATGCCACTAGCACGTTTATACGCCTGATAAATCAAGAAGAACACTTAGATCACTTACGAAAAGTTTTGCAAGCCTTATGAGAATAGAAGTTTAATACCAACCTCAAGAAATGCACCTTCCTTATTAAGTATAAGGTTGGAACTTTAAACTCCGCGGTTGATGCTCTTAACTGACGACATGTGTTACTTACAACAATGCAGGCCAAAGTTATTGGGTTTGAACTTGTTAAAAAGTTATACCAGGATGATCTTGATTTTTGAGGAGTGTGGGAAGCAACTGCAAATCAATCTTTCCACCAATTTTTATAAACATGATGGGTTTTTATTCCGAGGCAAAACCATATGCATTCCACAGGGTTCCTTAAAAGAGGCCATAATTTAGAAAGCTTATAATGGAGAGCTAGCTGGTCATTTTAGTAGAGACAAAACAATTGATCTAGTCAAAGAGAATTTCTATTGGCCAAGGCTTAAACAGGATGTCAATCGGCATATGCAAAAATGCAAAATATGTCATTTGGCTAAGGTCAAAGTTAAAACACGATATTGTACATGCCACTGCCTGTTCTAAAAGCACCATGAGAAGATGTGAGCATGGATTTTGTTCTTGGTTTACCACGAACTCAATGACATAAAGATTCTATCATGATAGTCGTGAATCAATTCTCAAAGATGGCCTATTTCATTCCATGTCAGAAGACCAATGACTCCATTCAAGTTGCAAATTTATACTTTAAAGAGATTGTTCATCTTCATGACATTCCCAATACTATCACTTCTAATCATGATGTGAAGTTTCTTAGTCACTTTTAGCGGATGTTATAGAAGAAGATGGGAACTAAGCTCTAATTTAATAGTGCCAGTCATCCCTAAACGGGCGGTCAAACTGAAGCTATAAATAGGGTTCTTGGCAACCTTCTTTACAGTTTCTTAGGGAAGAATTTGAAGTAGTGGGACGTCATCCTTGCTCAAGTTGAATTTGCCTACAATAACTCTGTCAACCAAGCAATTAGAAAATATCCATTTGAAGTTGTTTATGGTACTTGTCCCCTTAGTCTACTAGATTTAACCCCTTCACTTGATAAGCAGCAATGTAGTTCTGACGTTGACTAAAGGATTAAGGAAATCAAGAAGTTGCATGAACAAGTTCGTGAATGAATACAAAAGCAAAACTTGAGATATAAAACTTAACGTGACAAGCATCGAAAATATCAAACTTTTAATGTGGGAGACTTGGTTTAGATACATTTGAGAAAGGAATGTTTTCCTAAACAACCACACGCCAAGTTGTTCCTAAGAGTTGATGGTTCATTCAAGATTGTACAAAAGATCAACAACAATGCTTATAATTACATTAACAATGATGCCAAATTTGACTCAAGGGCAAGTTCCACTGAACCTAGGGAAGATGAAAGGGAAGCATGAGTTACTGCAATGGAAGCTTGAGCTGTTGCATTCACATCACAGTGAAAATGTCCCAAAGATAATTGTAACCAATAAAAGCTAATGTTGTAACCTTCTTTTTACTTGTCTATTCCATTCAAAGTCTTAGCAGTATAAATAGGATCACCTGTCATTGCTTAGTTTTAGAATAAAAATTAGATTATCCCTTTTCATTTAGTTTCTGTATCACTTTTGCACCTGTTGCTAAGTTTAATACAATAAAAATTCTTATCTCTTGCAAAAAACTTTGATTGGCCTTAATATTAGCTTGATATTAAAAATGCATGCATATTAGAATGGTGACTTAGAAGAAGTCTACAGGGAGTTGCCACTTGGCTTTAGGGATCCTAGTAATCCAACAAAGGTATGCAAACTAAAGAAGTCCTTATATGTATTGAAGTAGCCACCTAGAGTATAGGTTTGAGAGGCTTGCTAAAGTTGTAAACGCTTAAAGATACTACCAATGTCAAGTTGATTACACTTTCTTTGTAAGGCATGCAAGAAATGGTAAGATCACTATTGTTATAGTATAAGTAGATGACAATGCCATAACCAGTAACAACAAAGAAGGTATACAAAATCTAAATAGAGTTTCTATTTGCAGAATTTAAGGTAAAAGACCTTAGTAACTTGAGAACTTTATTGAAATAAAGATAGCTATACCCAGAAATGTAATCTCTGTATATCAATAGAAGTATGCTTGAGTCACTAAAAGAAATAGGTATGATTGGTGCTAAACAGAGACACCTATGGATTCAACCTACAAGACAAAGTTCAAGAAAGATAGGACATCGATGGATGCAAAGAAGTATATAAATAAATAGTAGGAAAGGTCATATATCTCTCACATATCACACTTGATATAAGCTTTCTTGTTAGTGTTGTGAGCCAATTTATGTAGGATCCTTAAGAGCAATACATGGATGTTGTTTTCAGAATTCTCAAGTGTTTGAAAATGATACTTAGCAAGGGACTATTCTTCAAGACGGGCTCAACTAGGAATGTAGAAATGTACATTGATGCAGATTGGGCTGGGTTTGTAACTAACAGGAGGTCAACTATTGGGTATTACACCTTTATATGTGGAAATCTTGTCACAAGAAGAAGCAAGAAACAGGTTGTGGTTGCTAGAAGTAATGTAAGAGATGAATATAGGGCATTGGCCTTAGGTATGTGTGAAGGAATATCGATAAGAAGGGTGTTAGCAAAACTGAAAATTAAGGTTAAGCCTCAAATGAAGGTATAATGTGACAATCTAGCCACCATAGGAGTTGTTGATAATTCCATATACCATGATCGAACAAAGCATGTGAAAATAGACTAATATTTTGTAAAGGAAAAGATAGATTCAAGTCTGATAATTCTAGAACATGGATTAACCAACTGGGAAGTGGCATATTTGTTTACCAAATCACTCACTAAGGCATATTCTAATCATATCCCTAATTTTATAGGATCTTCTTTTTTTTTTTCATAATTTCCAGCATTTATGGCTGCTTATTCGTTGGGATTGAATAGCAGAAAATATTGTCACCCTTCCCCTATATAAATTGTATCCACTATTATGAATATAAGTGAATTCATCCTCCAAATTGTACATTTAAAAGCTTAGGAGAAGGCATGTAGGTCTTTTACGTATGTCACATCCCAAATTTTGACTGTGACCTGCCCGGTTTAGGAGTAAACCACATCGCTGAAGCTTTTGACATCTAGAAATGTTCATTAATCTGTATAGACTCACAAATAATGTAAAAGATCAGCCACCCAACATAGTTTTTAATTATATGATTAATTAAGAATGTCAAGTTCATTGTAGAAGTTTAAGTAGAATTCTCTATGTAAATTGACCTCCTAAAAGTTTTACATCACCACAATCCCAAAATACATAACAAGACAAGGATCCTACCTATAAAATAGGTGCAGCTTATCTAAACTTGAATATAAATCAATATAGGATAGGTTTAAAACTTTATAATCGAAATGGTAAGACAGGGTGTGCCTAGAAGTTTCTTATTAGGCTATCAACAGAACATACCTTCAATAATCAATCAACGAAACTGAAAATCCAACTTTAATATATGAGGCCAAAAATATTTGCCTGTAAATAATATCCCAAAATAAGAAATTATAAAAAAAATATAAATAAAATAACTGTGGATAAATTACATGAAAAATACTATAAATTCGTAATAAAATCCCCAAAAAAATATATTTAATTGTACCATTGTATGAAAAGAAACATCACCATAACATATACAATCAAATTTTCTTTATGTCTATGAACATCATGGATTGAAAATTTAGGATAGAATCATCGTATAAACATCATTAAGAAAATTTATAAATAAAACTTTATTTGTCTATAAAATGTAAATCAAAACATTCTTGAAATCTGATTTCTCAAATAGGATTTAAGCAAAACAAAGGAACAAGTATGAACATACAATTCATAAAAATAACTAACTAATCAAGCATGGCTTAAAGTCACAGAAACAAATATGAGTACTAGACCCACAAATATAAATTGAGTATTATGCTCACAAATATGCATCCCTTCACTCTAAAGTGTGTTGGCAGTCACATGAGGCAAGTACCTCCAAATAACCCTACTAATTAGGTGTTAATCATAACATGTTAAGGGCTAACGAAATTGTCGTTTGCAACTAATATTTTGTATATCGTCCGCTCAAAACCATCCTCAAGAATGCAATGAATCAAATCACTATTGAGATACAAAATACATTCCCAGTATAGAAAGCTTGCAAGAATCTTTTAGAATATAAAACCTTTTCTATATGAAAATTCATTACTAATATCTAAATAGTTTTCACCAATTCCATGCATGATCGCTTTTTCACAAACAAATCGGTAAAACATAACTGAACAATAATTAAAAGCTTTAAACGTATTCTTCCGAAATGCCACAACATTTAAATATCAATGATAACCTTAAGAAAGTTAATGATACAATTTGAATAAACAAGCCTTGATAAAATATTTCTATAATAACTCAAGAATTTAAAGAAAAAAATAATAAATAATAATAATAAAATAAAATAAATAAAATATATAATATATAATATATAATATAGTGTTTTAAGTATATTTTTATTAATTTTAGAACAAATTTGGTAAGAAGAAGAGCTCGCCTGGTGAATACTGTGTAGCCACCTATCTAATATGTAGCCATCTATCTAATGAGTCTTAAGCTCGAAACTCAAGGAGGCTTGGGACTTTTTTTTTTTTTTTCAGCTTCATCCTCTTTCAAAATTACCATTTTCCCCCTCTTCCATTTGATATTTTTTTACTCTCTTAACTTCTTTTTCATTCGAGTGAGCAGAGAGGTCCAGAAGCTTCAGAACTGAGTGACCAAAAACTCATCCGTCGTCTTCCTTTTTCATTTTTTCGACGTTACCGGTGTAGATGCTGTTGCTGCTTAGTCCTTCGCTGTTCTGCTAGGCCGAGGCTTCCTTCTTCCTCCCTCATCTTGGCTCGCATAGGGACTGTGAGGAGCAAGAAAAAAAAAAAAAATTGGTGCTCAAAAGTTCTGAATCCTCGATCCAGCCACCTCAGACTTCCGCCGTTCAACACGCAGTCGACGGGAGTAGGAACTCCGCTAGCCGCTACTGTGACGTGGCTGAGATCTGTTCGTTCTTCCCTGCTCGGTGCTTGCCGTGAACCCCTGTATTGTGGTACAGATCGTGAGTTCTTCTCTTCCTTTTTCAGCCATGATTTTTGTCTTCTTCTCTGCTTCATGAACTGCTATTGTTGAGCATAAGAATCAGATATTTCTCTCCTCTTGTTTATCTGCTCTATTTTTGCTGTGCAGCGAGAAGCTTTGACCTCTTCTTCTCTTTGAAATTAAGTGTGTGTGTGATGTGTTAGTGGTTCGAAGCTGTGCTGAATCTGTGCGTATGAATAATGAGTGGTCGAAGTTGCAAATTTTTTTCTGGAAATCTGCTGCTGCCGTGCTGTGTAGGGAGATGGAAATGGAGATTAAGCTCTACATTTATATTAAAGTTTGATTTTATATATATGGGTTAGAATTTTGAGCTAAATTGATTTTTATTTGGGCTTGTTTAGGTTGAAGAATTGGTTAGAACGAGATTGGCCTTAGACATAAAACTTAGAGATTATTACCTATAACATATTTGTTAAAATGCTTGTTAAAAAAAGTTAAACTTAATTTTAAATATTTTTAAAATTTTACTAATTTTTGTGGAAAGTATAATTAGCCTAAATATTATTAATCTATGAAATTTAACTTAAAAGTTAAAAAGGAAATTTGACCATGAAATCAATAACATGTGATTAATTGAATCCTTGGAGGTGGATAGTTCAATGATAAAATATTTGAAAGCTAGAGTCTTTTTGAGTGGGTTAGAAATGATAAATACATACACACACATTTGGTGTTTGACAAAATGCAAATGAGGATTTTTTTTTTAAAAAAATGTAAAGCCTTGATTTTTGAAGTTTTAAATATATTATACTCTGATATTGGTGGTGATGAGATTGAAAGGGAACCATTATATTAGTTGAACATTCAATAAAATTTTATTATGATTTTATAGGATGTTTGGAGGACGAAAAATTCGGTTGAAATGATAAAAGGGAAAAATTTCAAATTTTGAAAACATTTCACGTAAGTGAATAATATCCCAATTAATTTATATATTAAAAAATTTTCTTTATCAAAATATTGATTTTAACATTTTATAGATATTTATGTGTTTCTTTTGCATTAGTTATTTTTGTTAATTAAATTATTTTTATTTCTTGAAATCATGACCTATACTTTTTATATTGATGAAAATGCTTTTACAAATTTTAGCAGTCCTTTATTTGATAAAGCCAACTATGAAAATTGGTGAAGAGTGTATGAAATATTAGTTTTGAATTTTCATATTTAGAAAGATTGTTGTTTTTATATGTTTCATGCGAGTTTGATATGAAGAAGAGAAATTATATTTTGAAAGTGATAATTTTCTCGCATGTTTGAAAGTGAATTTAAGAAGGGATTTTATTTAGAACACTAGTTGTTAACGGTAGTTCTATTAGCCCTTGGTGTGCCATGATCAATCATTAGCTAGTTTGATTTTCGTGAATTTTATTCTCACGCTTGTTATTCGTGGGTCTTGTGCTTGTATTTATTTCGTGGCTTTGACCACGTCTGGTTAGTTACTCTCATGGATTGTATGTTTAAATTTGTTTGCGACTTTGACCACGTCTGGTAACTTACTTGTATTCATGTTTATTAATTGTTCTGACAAGTCCATATAAACATGAATTTGATTATTTGGTGATTTGATATCTCATTGGCTTGAATTAGTAATTTATTTATAATTATTTATTTTTTTATTTATTTCATTTATTTGCTTTTTTGAAAGCAAGTGATAGTGATATGAAAATTAAATGGTTCAAGATTTCATTTAAAGTCATATAAAATCTCTTTTATTTCAAAATTTATTAATTTTTATAAAAATCATTGTTTCTTTAACTTGCATAATTGTTCTACATTTCTCTTTTATTCATGTTCAATTATTCATTATTGGGATGTTATTCATTGAAAATAATTTTGGTCTTAGATAGTATAGCTGACACTGAATCACTTACTGAACATTGAGGAGTCTATTACTAAAGGTGAGCGAACTAAGGATTAAGCTTTCTTTGATATAAAATTTAATTATGAAATTTTATTTTGTAAACATATTTTAGATGCTCCACATAGATCATAGCTAAGTGTTTTATTTTGTTATATATTCTGTTTGTTGGCTGAACATAGCTAAGTTTTTTATTTTGTTATATATTCTGTTTGTGGGGTGAAAGGAGCTTTGCTCCTAATTGATTTAATATTTTGATTGAAATATTATATTGTAGAATTTTGAAATTTTCTATTAATAAGGAAGGTTATGTTAAAATTTTTACAAAAATATTGAAATATTTATTATAGATGAAAATTATTAAAGGTGTTAAAGATTTCAATATAAGTATAATTATGTTTTAAAAATAAATATTAAACATTAGATTAAAGTTTTCTTGACCATGGCTTAAGGGATATATATTTATGCATATATCTCGTACCAGTTACATCTAATTTTTGGGATGTGATAATTTTGTAGAAACATTGGTGGTTTATTTAAAATTATATCAAGTGATTAAAAAATATTATCTGTAAGAAAAATATTTGGGACATTACTTGCTAAACAAGTAACAAAGAAAGGCTTCTCCTTTAATGGCCCTTCATGTAAAAGTTTCTCCCTTGTATGTTGTGAAGTCCTAATATTAAAAGGAACAACTATGCTTATTGTCTCAACAATCCCTAAAAAATTTTGACGGCCCAATTGATCAAATATAACCATGACATGTCATATCTATCCTTTATTCTCCGTCCAAAGAAAAGAGATTAAAATTATTTTACATTCAACTGAATTCCATGTTATAGCCAAACTTTCAATTTCAATATTTATCTCTTTAATAATGTTCCAAATTCTTTATTCCAAGAACACTTATTGAACTCAAAATTCAATAATATCAGTCAACAGAGAAATTATACCCAACTTTATACAATAACTATAGGACAATTCGCATCATTCAACTGAGACATTATTCTTACATCCAATTGTTTTCAGTTCAATATTACAATCTTCTTTCGACATAGTCTAAATCAAATGACGAACCTTTTAGCTAATGATTCCAAAAAGCGAAACCACGTTTCTAACACTTATATAGTAACATGGAGTTTGAGTGTCTTTCAATTATTTTGACGAACAGTTTGTGTGCACTTTGTGATCATGATCATAGAATAAATCCCAAGACATACGAATCTTTCTCCAAACTACATATCTACCATTTCACGATATAAATTCAAATATGTGGAAGCTTAGAAAACGAAGAAAGGAATATCAAATAGGCCACTAGGTTTATTCTCACATGTAAAAGCCAATTAGAAAATTGGTGATGATAATACCTGTTTCATTAGACCTTAAATGATTAACCTTTTGGCCAGCAATCACTTCAAATCTTCTCCCCTAATTTGAGTGCGGAAATGAAGAAAACTTCAGAAAAATGGTTGTTTGACAGCAACAGTGGGAAGAGAAATATGTAAATCACTTGAGATTGAAGGAAGGAAGAAGGAAATCAGACAAAGAAGTGGTCGATTAATAAATCAAAGAACCTTTACCAGGAAACACAAAGATGGAGGAAAATAAGAACTCAGCTACTGCAATCAGAAGTACAAAGCACAATGAGCTGTGCGTTTTTCTCTCTCCCTCATTTGAATAGCTCCTCAAAGGTGCTGTAAATGAAAAACGAAGGGGGGGGAGGTCTTAGATTGTAAATAAGTAAATATAACTCTTAGATTATAAGAGAAATTTTCATTTGTAAATGTTTGAATTAATATTTAAAATTTATTTCATACAAAATTTTGTTGAGGATTCAACTGTTATTAATTCAGTGTACTAGGATCTAACTGTCATTTTTCCATTATTATTCGAACTATTTTGGAGGTACTGATGGTTTAAGCAAGAGAAAGGAACCGAAAAAGTAGTTCTTCATTATGGTCTTATTAGATTTGGAACTAGCTTTATTTTATATTTTTTACCACCGTACTATGATGCTAAGTATATGAACTTGATGAATTTGTTTCCTGTATTATGTTTGGTTTGTAACCCTTGATTGATAGTTGTTGGATCGATTGTTTATCCATGTTACATTATGGTCTAACATTTAATTATGAACCTTGAAGCATGACCGCTTGTTGTTTGGATCAGCTTATGATGGTTAACTTGGACTTCACGTCAACTCGATGGCTCGAGTATGAAATTACTCTGGGATTGCCTTGTAACTCTTTGGTATATTTTTAGTGCGTTGATCTTTGTCAGAATTGGAATGTTTCTCTCTTCGGGTAATAGTGAGAATGTTAACTATTTGTTTGCAGGCTTGAATAATTGGGTTATAATGTCCAGTTTTATGTTGGACTCGTTTTCAGAAATCTGGCCCACACGTTTTTGTGTCTTTAATTATCTTGATTGTTTTTTAGGCAAAATTTTCTTGGATATTTTCTACTTTAAGATTTAGAATCCATGAGTCTCTCAAATATCCTCATGCCAAAGACGATTCGCATTGCAGTCATATAATTTCATAAATGCTTGAAAATTAATACTTGATCAGAAATATATAAAATTATGAATTAAAGGGTGATTTTATAAGATTACATCTCAACTATTTGGCTAAAGCTATATAAATTGTTGGATTAAAATATAGGCTATAGAAAAAGATAGGGCAGTAATTCTATAAGAGGATTTGAGACACGGGTCAAATCTATCTTAACATAGTTTTTTCATTAAAAAAAAATTAGATGAGTTGGGTTTGGGTCTCGAAAACTCAGTAAGGCTGAAGCATGCTTCTAGATCAAATAAGTGCTTCTAAAAGTATTTACAAATTTTTCATTAACAAGGCCATCACAACAAGATTTATTTTGTGACCTTATTATTTATAGGCCAGATTCATACTAACTATATTAACTTTTTGATTATTTTAGTGTGCCACCTTGACTCTCTTGGTGGTTTTGGACTTGGGTCTTGTTAAAGGGGTGTTTTCATGGGCCTAGATTTTCTTTCTCGGGCTTTAGGCTTGGTTTGGATGCTGAAAAAAGTGACGGAGTGAAGGCTAGGGAAAAAATTAAAAACTAATAAAATATTTTACTATTTTTAAGAGTTTTTCTTTATACTTTTTCTTTTTTGACTAATTTCCTTCTCGTCCGAACAATTGTTTAGTCTATTGTCCAAATATCTAGTTCTTGAGCCCGGGATGGGGGAAAAAAAAAATACTGGGGTCTTTGTTCTTTTCCATGATTTTTGCTTAATTCTTGATTCTTTAACCTTCAGTTTAATCTATTAAGGGTGTGACAGGGACAAATATATTAGGACAATGGTTATGAATGTTAGAAACTTGATGCCGCACTGAGAGAAAATAATTATATTGCCCAAAATATTAGAAAAAAACTTATATATTTAACTTTATATATTTAAAATCATTGTTTTGTTGGCAAAAAAAATAATTGTTTTTAAATAAATCAATATATGTGTATCATTTATAAACTATTTATATATAAAAATTTTTTATTAGTATTATTAGCACATTAAAAATTCAATTGTTTTAATTTGATTGAATAAAAGTACAATAAATATATAAAGTTAAATAAATAAATCTTGCACTTATAAAATTTGGAAGAATTATAGCTTAGTTAGGACAATGAAAATCAGAGTTGTAAATTAGTTGGAAACAACTGAAAACTCTCTTGAAAATAATATTGAAAGAAATTTAATATTATAATTTTTTAACTAAAATAAAAAATGAAATTTTAAAATATTATCATCAAATAATAAGAAAATTACATTTTTTTAAAGATAATTTAAATTTGTTATCTGACAAACACAATTGTAAATACGAAAAAGATTAGTTGAGAATAATGGAAAACTCAATTAAAAATCATTTGAAATTATATTATTAAAATTATTGGTTTCAAGTTAAACAAAATCATTATCAAGTTGTGAGAAAACTTTTATGAACATTATTTTAAATGTAATGCCGTTGGGGAGATAAATATATTTTCCAAATAAATCAAGGTCACGTATTAGATAGTGCTGAGGGACAAATTTGTCTATAAACTATAGGTGCAGGAGTATTTATGATCCCAAACTCATTTTTGATATAATGTTTACATTTAACTTTAAAAAACAGTATTGCTCCTACCATAAACAACAATGAACTTTAACTATTAATTTGACAAAAAAATTATAGAAAATGACTAAGAAAAATAATTTTTTAGGTCCTTATCTTTAATTTTGGGTCCTTTTTTATAATTATCATATCAATTAACAGTCAAAATTAATTTTTTTTAATGATAGGGGTGACATTGTACAGTTTTTTTAAAGTTGAAAGAAAATATTACGCTAAAAACGAGTTTAGGGTTTATAGGTAAAGTTGTCCTTTAACCCTATTAGATAATTTTATTTTTATATATATATGTATGCCAATGTGAAATGATTTTTAATTAAAATATGCGTATAATAGATTATCTTATAACTAATATATGCAGGGTTGGGCTTAAAGTTGAATTCCCGGCATGCCACCTCAGTATTAGATTTAATACAAAAGCCACACTAAATAAGTAATATTTGGATAAATTGACTTACGTGCCAGCCGAAAAAAATTTGGTACCCATAAAATATAAATTAAATTTTTTAAAATTTAAAAGTGTGGCCAATTCATATTAACATATAAGGAATTTATCATTAATATATAAAATATTTATTATAAAAATTTAAAAATATACGTCATATTATTGATAAATATAATAAACCAATCATAATATAAAATATAATAAGTGTAAAACTATTTACTTGATTTGATTTTATAACATAAGTTATATCTACAAAGCCCCTTAACATAATTCGAATTAAAATCAATCAATATCGAAGTTTAAGAAAACCGTTTCAATTTTTTTATAAAAAATAAACCATTTCAATTTAAATTCAAATTAATTTTACATAAGTTTCATGTTTAGTAATATTAATTTAACCACAAAATTAATAATTTTATTAATTAAAGCATAAAATTCAATTTCTTCTTATGTAAATTTGTTCTAAAGTTTTCTATATGAGATCAACATAGTATTTAGGATAAATTGGCCCACTAGTTGAATAAAATCTTGTATCCAAAAAATATGAACCAAAATTTTGAAAATTAAAGAGTATGACTGGTTCATATTGATAGACAAGGATTTTATTATTGATATACAAAGAAATTTATTATTGAAATTTTAAAAATTTATAAAAATTTTATCATTAATATACAACAGTATGTATAGCATTGACAAACATATAAACTAGCCATAATATAAAATATAATAAATGTTAAGTTTTTGCTTGGTTTGGTCCTATAACATAAGTTATATATGCAAAAGCCTCTTGTATTTATATCTAATCATGTGAATCAATTAATAAAACATTATATATATATATATATATATATATATATATAAGTTGTTTTAAGGGTAATCAAGTAGAAGACAATTGAAAATTGAATAAGAAAAAATTGTAAAATCAGAAAAAAGATTTGAAATACTTGAGCAATCCCTAAAAAGTGAAAAAATTTGCAAAATCAGAAACATGAGAATTACTTAAAACTATACAAAAAAATAAGTAGAATAACTTCGGATTTAAAATTTATGAAGGCTATTATTGTATAATTAATTAAAATTAAAATTTTTAAAATATATAAAAGGGATGCTTTAAGTTCTAATAATAATTGGAACTTTAAACAAGAATATAAAATTTAAATACTTTTTAATCTATATATTTTAAGAAAGATAGTGAAAACCAAACTGATCAAGACATTAGTTCAACTATTAATGGTTAAATCATAATCGAACTGTATCAAATTAGTCATAACCAATCATTTTATTAAATCAATCAAGACACTAGCTTACCCATTAAACAATTCAATCAGCTGAATTGATTTGGATTTCCGTATACAGCTAAGCTAAACATAATGAGAATATATTCATGAGATGCGAAAACATAGTAAGATGCTGAGAATGAGAAGATTCTACCTTTTCTTCATTGAGACTTCAACCATTTGATAGAGGAATCTCCGTTTTTCCTTCCATATGTTTGTTTTGAAACTGAAATGAATTCTGTGAGAGAAAACAAGAGCATAGAAATAAGAACAATGGGGGAAGAACTGTGAACTGAGAGATTGATTGGTTTAAATGAAGAAGGGTGAGATTTAAAAGAGAGAAAGAGATCAACAGAGTCAACTTCAAAGTCTTCGCATACGCGTGCCAGCTGGCCTGTCAATTAGAAAACCACGGCGATACTGCTTGTCTGCTTCCCAACAATTTATAATAAATGGGTCCGTGCCTCAATAATTTGACCCTTGGCACAAAAGTAAGGTTGCTCCTTCAATAATTTGCTATTGAGAAAGAGAAATTCTTGTATCAACGCCTACTTCGTTATATCATTTATATTCCATTCAATAAAAATATATTATATTAATATTATTTTAATTAAATAAAATTTTATATATTATTATTTTTAATATTTTTATTTTTGAGATTTAATTTCTT